AGCGAACCTGGGGGTGAACAGTGACAGTGGGATAAATACCTGAGGAGTGGGGTCAGTGAGAGCGAACTTGGAGCTCAATCTAGAAGCAGAACTGTGGAGACGAAGTCTCGACTCAAAAAGTGACCCAGGATTGGCTGCTCAGGAACCAGGTTTGCAGATTGAGTGAGTTGTGTGTAGAGAGAGATAAAATACTTACATTTTGTAGGTGTTGTCTGTTAGGAAAAGAAAGCGGGAGTGAGACTGGAGTTTGGTGACAAGTGGGTAAGGTTGTCTATTTAGTTCCTGGATTATGGCCTGTCATTGATAAAGTTGATTTTGTCAGTAAGGTTCACAATGGCAGGAGAACTCAGCCCCATGGAATGCTCCTCCTGTAAAACGCGGGAAATCAGGGACACTTCCATCACCATGGTGACTCCGTGTCCAGGAAATGTGTTCAGCTGCAGGTCCTGATTTGCTTCATGGAACAGCTGGAGCTGTGGATGGACTCACTATGGAGTATCCATGAGGCTGAGGATGTTGTGGAAAGCATGTTTAGTGAGCTGGTCACACCACCAGTAAGGGCTACACAGACAGAGAAGAATTGGCTGACCACCAGGAGAATGAGTAAGTGTGGGCAGGCAGTGCAGAAGACCCCTGTGGGCCATTCTTCTCTCAAACAGGGATATCGTGTTGGATACTGTTTTGGGGGGTGGATGTTCTCTCAGGGGAAAGCAGCAGCAGCCACGATTGGCTCTGTTGTACAGCTGGAGGATTGAAGCCTACGTGAGCAGTAGCGATAGGGGACTCAATAGTCAGGGACAGAGGCAGTTCTGTAGCTGTGAGCATGACTCCAGGATGGTGTGTTGCCTCCCTGGTGCCAAGGTCAAGGACGTCTGTGAGCAGGCACAGGATATTCTGAAGGGGGAGGCCCTCCTAGGCCACATGACACTGAGACTAGGAAAAGGAAGACAGTACAGTTAAATACATGGCTAACGAGCTGTGTAGGAGGGAGGGATTCAGATATGTGGATCATTGGGATGTCTTCTGGGGCAGGTGGGACCTCTACAAGTAGGACGGGTTGCACCTAAACTGGAGGGGCACCTACATCCTGGCAGGGCGGTTCGCTAGTGCCACTCAGGACGATTTAAATAGTGTGGCGGGGGGCGGGTGGAACCAGAGAGGTAGGTTCTAAACAATTAAATTGATCCAGGAGGAGTATGAGATTAAGGCCAGTAACACTAAGAGAAAGAACAGACAGGAGAGATTACTGAACACAGCACACAGGCATCTTGAAGTGTGTTTGTTTTAATGCAAGGAGTATGACATGTAAGGTAGATAAACTGATAGCCTGGGTTAATAGATAAATAACTATGACGTTGCAGCTTCACAGAGATTCGGTTGAGAGAGGGACAAGACTGGCAGCTTAACGTTCCAGGATTTAGATGTTTGAGGTGAGATAGAGAGGGATGTAAAAGAGGTGCAGGAGTTGCATTACTGATCCCAGCTGTAATGACGGAGGGCACCTCGGAGGGCCCATCCAGCAAGGCATCATGGGTAGATCTCTGGAATAGGAAGGATGCAATCACTTTGATGGGAATGTACTACAGGCTTCCCAACAGGCAGCAGGTGACAGAGGAACAGATGTGCGGACAGATTATGGAAAAATGTGAAAACAACACAGTTGGTGATTTTATCTTGCACTATATTGACTGGGACTTGCTTAGTGCCAGGGTCTTAGATGGGTTAGAATTTGTTAGGTATGTCAAGGGTGGTTTTTTTGAAACAATATGCAAATCGTCCAACCAGAGAAGGGGCCCTACGAAACGTCTGTGGAACAACAAACCAGCTCGGTGAGCCAACCAACCTCAACACCCACAACCCGAGCTACAGATCTACTCCAAAACCTTAAAGGGGCCCTACGTGTCCTGGTCTTGGGGAATGAGCCTGACCTGGTGATTGAAGTTTTAATGGGGGAGCATTTCGAGAACACTGACCATAATTCGGCAAAGTTTTAAGTTAATTACGGATAAGGATAAGAATAAGAATAGTCCTCAGGTGAATGTACTAAACTTGGGGGAGGCTAACTACCACAATATTCAGCAGGAACTGCAGAATGTAGATTGGGGACGGCTGTTTGAGGGTAAATCCACATCTGGCATCTTTTAAAGGTGAGTTTATTAGAGTTCAGGACTGGAACGTACCTGTGAAAATGAAGGATAAGGATGACAAGATTCAGGAACCTTGGATGACTGGACAAATTGAGAGAGTGAATCAAAAAGAGAAAGGAGGCACACATAAGATTTAGGAAACTGAAGACAGACAGAGTCCTGAAAGAAACCAATGATAGCAGGAAAGAACTCAAACAAGGAATTAGGAGGGCTAATTTCCCTGTTACCGTAGGGATAATCCGGGAAATTACACGCTGGTCAGTGAACCCTACGTCAGTGGTAGGGAAATTATTGGAGAAGATCTTTAGGGGTAGGATTGATTCACATTTGGAAAATATGAACTTATTAGTTATAGGCAGCATGGCTTTGTGCAGGAAAGGTCATGCCTCACTAACTTCATTGAGTTTTTTGAGGAAGTGACAAAGATGATCGATTAGAGCAGGGTAGTAGGTAGTAGACCTACAAGGTCCCTCATGGCAGACTGATACAGGTTGACATCACATGGGATCCGTGGTGAGTTGGTAAGATGGATACAGAATGAGCTTAGTCATAAAAGACGGAAAGGAGATGTGGAAGGGTGTTTTAGAGACTGGAGATCTGTGACCAGTGGTGTTCCACAGGAATCAGTGCTGGGACCCCTGTTGTTTGTAATATATATAAATATAAATGATTTGGAAGAGAACGTAGGTGGCCTGAATTGTAAGTTAAAAAGATTAGGGAAGCTGCAGATAGTAAGGAAGATTGCTACAGGATATAGCAGGATATTTATAGGCTAAAGAATTGGGCAGAGAAATGGCAGATGGAGTTTAATTCAGAAAAACGTGAGGTAACGCATCTTGGATGATCCAATGTAGGAGGGACATATACATAAATGGCAGAACTCATAACAGCATCAATATACTGAGCGCTCTAGGCATAAAGGTCCACAGTTCCTTGAAAGTAAGTAGATAAAGTGGTCAAGAAGGCATATAACCTGCTTGCCTTCGTCGGTCAGGGCATAGTGTATAAGAATTGGCAAGTCATGTTGCAGCTGTACAGAACTTTATTAAGGCCACATTTTGAATATTGAGTATGGTTCTGGTTGCTATACAACCAGAAGGATGTGGAGCTTTAGTCAGGGAATAGAAACAGTCTACCAGGATGTTGCTGGTTTGGAAGGTTTTTTTAATTCATTCATGGTATATGAGCATCACTGGCTAGGCCAGCATTTATTGCCCATCTCTAATTGCCCATAGGGTAAGTGTCAACCACATTGCTGTGGGTCTGGAGTCACATGTAGGTCAGACCAGGTAAGGATGGCAGTTTCCTTCCCTAAAGGACATTAGTGAACCAGATGGGTTTTTCTAACAATTGGCAATGGTTTCATGGTCATCATTAGACTCTTAATTCCATATTTTTTATTGAATTCAGATTCCACCATCTGCTAGTGTGGGATTTGAACCGGGTCCCCAGAACATTAACTGCATCTCTGGGTTAACAGACCATAGATAATACCATGAGACCATCACTTCCCTGAATTAGCTATGAGGAGAGATTGGAACAACTTGGTTTGTTTTCACTTGAGTATCAAAGGATGAGGGTTGGCCTGATAGAAGTTGACAAAATTATGAGAGGCATGGATTGAATGGATAGTTGGAGTCTTTCTCCCAGGGTAGAAATGTCAATTACTAGGAGACATGGGGTTAAGGTAAAAGGGGGTACATTTAAAGGAGATGCATGAGGCAAGTTTTTTTTACACAAGAGGGTGTTGGTGCTTGGAATGTGCGGCCAATGGAGGTGGAGAAGGCAGATACAATTGCAACGTTTGATAAGCATCTTGATGGCTATATGAATAGGCAGGGAATAGAAGGCTATGGACCACATAGTGGCAAAAGTTTTTTAGCTTAGAAAGGCATCCTGTGTTGGTACAGTCTTGGTGGGCCAAAGGGTCTGTTTCTGTGCTGTACTGTTCTTTAGTGATGCATTTTTGCTGCACTGAGATCCACAGCAGAATATCAATCACAGCTTTATATGAATACATAACTTGTGGAATCCAAACTGTAGGCTGGGATGTCAGGTGGCAGAGGGGAAATACTCCCACTTGTTCTCAGAAACAGTCTTTGTTATTCATTGAATAAAGATTTTAAAACATTATTAAAGATCATGCAGGTGCTGCCACCATCCCAGTAGAGTACACTGCTATATTCCACCAAGGCAGGGCAAAAGGCTTTTTCTACCATTCCTGTGACACTTCAGTTTAGTTGCTCTGAAAGACTCTCAAACCTTTTACTTCTGATGCCTGAAAAATGCAGCAACAAAACATTGTTCATCTCATCATTCGCCCAATCCCCAGCAGGGTTCATTGATGCTTTAAAAATGGTGGCTCTGCTGTTGATGCAGGGCCTGGGACAAGTGGCTACATCAGGGCCAGGGGCTCTAGGAGCCCCCACTGTGCTTGGGTTGGGCGTGGGAGTCCCAACCAGGGGCAGCAGCTGGGGCACGTGCTCTCTGCCCCTGGCATCAGGTGGCTGAGCAGACATCATCATACCATACCCTTTGTCAGTGTTTTGTGGGGGATTAGACTTCTGAGGCTGGAATGTAAAATAAATTCCATTGATTGCTGTGATTGCTCAATAACTCCATTAACGTTGGATCATGTGACAATCAGGAGTGAGTGAAAGGGATCTGGGCAATTTCCCACAGATGAGCTTGTTGATAATTAGGGTGGGGGTAACGGGACAGTTCAAAGCTGGGAGGATCATGAAAGAATCACCGAACAGTGAGGTTATCTCACACCTACCAATCCAGCTCGCTGAAGGTGTCTCCGGATCCTTGTGTTGTTGAAATATCCTGTCAGGTGCTTGTCCGTCAGGCTGTTGTAGGTAGCCAGTGGTCTGTAAGAATGTATTGTAGCGTTAGGCTTTTGAAATCATCCAGGGTGCTGCTCAGAGTATAACTAATGAACATTCACTCCCTCCACCACTGAAACTCAATACACACTGCTGCTACTTTCTGCAAGATGTACTGCAGCAACTCACTAAGGCTCTCTCCTCAGCAGCTTCCAAACCCTCTACAAGGACAAAGGTAGCAGATACTGGGAACACCACCACTTGCAAGTTCCCCTCCAAGTCACTCACCATTCTGACGTGGAAATATATCGCTGTTTCTTCAGTGTTGCTGGGTCAGTATCCTAGAACACTCTACCTAACAGCATTGCTGGTGTCCCTACATCACAACAACTGCAGCAGTTCACAAGGGTAACTAGAGGTGGACAATAAATGTTGGCCCAGCCAGCGATGATCACATCCCTTGAATGAAGAAAAATAAACAACTTACCTAACTACAGTGTACAACAGCTCTGATGAAAGACCACAAAGCTGAAACATCAAGTCTGTTTCCTTCTGCACAATTGCTGCCACATCTGCTGAGATTTGTAGCATTTTCTGTTACTGTATCATAAAACAGTACCCTCTTCTGCTGCGTGAGGGAAGTAGTATTATTTATTATTTATTTTAGATGGGTTATTGCCCATGATAACCCCCCATGAGGAGGAAATTACAGAGATACAACCAATGTCCTTCCACCTGCCAGTAAAATCATGACTGGACCTCCTCCTGCTAACCGAAACACGTCCTGCACTGCAAATTTCTGGTTGACAGCAGGAAATTGCGTTTATTAAAGGCTGTGTGGTGTTCCATTGCATTGGAACATGCAATGTAAATGTTTCCCATGGGAATTTCAATGCTAAAATTCAATACCAATATATGAATGCTGCCAGTCATACTACCAAGTGACATTATGATAGTAATTCCATGTTACTGCAGCTCGTGGGGAAACAGCATTTGCTGACCACAATTAAAGATCACTTTCAACGCTGATGAAACCACAATCTCAATGAGATTTTATGAATGCTGCTTCTTCAGGCCAGACGGGTCTGCTAAAATTTGTGCAAGGTGTTTCTACACAACCTGGGGAGGATAAAGGTACTCTTTTAGTCGGAGGGTCAGTGCAGAGGGAGCGCCGCACTGTCGGAGGGTCAGTGCAGAGGAAGCGCCGCACTGTCGGAGGGTCAGTGCAGAGGGAGCTTGGGTTCTCAGTACTGCCCTTCTAACATGACAGCACTCTTTCAGTACTGACCCTGTAACAGTACTCCCTTACTAACGTCCCTCTAACAGTTAACTGTTAGACTAGGAATGTCATTTTGTACTTCTTTCATACATTTCTAATTTCTTGAACCCATGATGATTTGACTCAGGCATATGTGCCAAGATGTAGAAGATTGTTCTTGAAACAAGACAATAACAAATAGACTATTATTAATGTTTACAATGCTGTGTAATACATGGAAAATGGCAACACTCTCAATTGGTGAATTATTCTCTTTGAACCCTGCATTCTGTACAAGTTGCTACATGTTGAATTTGTCCCACACTACTGGCAGCAAGACAACTAGACAATACCACCAACTTCCTTAGAATCTTGGCAAACACTATCCATTGATGGAGATTACTGACTATTCAAAGAAATACAGTTCGTAGAAATAGCAAGTAAAGTCACAATGTGTTGAATGCTGTTTTTCAGTAATAGGTGATATTCTGTAAAGTTAAAGTGAGGTAAACTTCTCATTGCCCGTTTCTTAACACACATCAATTTCACTGAACTACTCGCGCTCCTGTTGTTAATGAAATTCTCAAATCTCTCCATTTTTTCATTTCTCCCCATCTCTTTAATCACCCCCTGCCCCTCATCCCTTCAATATCTTTGCAGGTATCTAATTCTGGTCAGCTACATATCACTGATTTTAGTCACTCACCAATGTCGGATTTGCCTTCTGCTGCCTAGACCCCAAGCTCAGCTGACCCTCCTGTAAAGACCACACCTTTTTAATTTCCTTTACACTGGACTGCGGACCCAAATTGGAAAATGATACTGTTGTAAATCGAGGACTAGGAAAGAACTGCTTCGCTTTTAAAGACAAGTTACTGGAAATCATAAAGATTGCGTTTACACTGCACGTTTGTCCAAGCAGCGGTTTGTGCAAAGCAAGTTTCGCCCAGAGGCAGATTGCTGATTGGTTTGTGCAGTCAGGACCGGTTGTGGAGGCCAGGCATCATCAGAATGACAACTGCTCTCTGATTGGCTCCTAAGCAGGTAGACACTGTGGGTGACCAATACAGAAACAGAAGTCTCCAGACTGCAAGAGACAGTGTCTCCCTTTTTCTTTCTCTGAAGTCAAAGGTCATGAAGTGAAAGATAGTTAATCTTTTTCACCATTTGCTTTAAACTGTTGACTCTAATCAGTTGCTGAAAGATTAAATAATAAGCATGTCAACTGAAGCACTGTGTCTTCAGCAAAGAACTGAATGGATCTGAAAATAAACAGATTGGAGATTAGAAGGATTTGGAAGAAGCAAAAGAGACACCTCATCAAATCCTGTGGACCAGTCCTATTGAATTGTGTTTTCCTTAGTAATTTTCCCCCATTCTTCAAACCCATGTTTGTTTGTCTGCATATGTGTGTAGAAAGGGTTAAGAGGGGGTTATAGTTAAACTAGAAGAAATAGAAGTCGCTCATTCATACTTTGTTTTCCTGCAGTTAGAACTGAAGTCTTTTTAGTTTCCTGTTAAATACTTTCTGTTTTGGTAGATTCTGTTAGCTTCAGTCCAACATACAGGTAAATTGAGGAACTCTGACTAATTTGATTAAATCTTCCATTCTTGTGAAAGGCAGGGCTTGAGCCTCAACACTGTCTCCAAAGTGGATTGTGATCGTCTCCAAATCTCTCCATCATTCCATCCTTTCTCTTGTCCTTTGGGATGCTGCTCATAACTAAATGCTTTAACCAGGCCCCACCTATCTTAATAAACGGTCATGTTGTTCAGTCCCAAATTGTGTTTGGTGATTCATCCTGTGAAGCTTGGGATTATTCACTGCATGAAAGGCAATATGAAAGCAAACATGTAAATGTCGATTAAATGGCTAGATACAAGTTAGATCATAGGAAGATAGAAGCAGGAGTAGGCCATTCAACCCCTCGGACATTTTTCACCATTTGATGAGATCATGGCTGATCTGTGGCCTAACCTAATACTTCTGCTTTACGAAGTGTTAAGATAAACAACTGATCCAGTATCCACTGTCATTCATGAAAGAGAGGAAGCACTTGTACACATCTCTCCTGAATGGTCTGGCCCTAATTCTTAAACTATGCCTCCAATTCTTAAACTATGCCTCCAGTTTTAGGATCCCCAACCAGTGGAACAAGTTTATCTTTATCCACCCTGTCTTTTCCTGTTAATATCCTGAAGACTTCGATCAGATCACCCCTTAATCTTCTAAATCCTACAGAAAACACCTAATTTGTACAACATCTCCTCATAACTTAACCTTGAAGTTCAGGTATCATTCTTGTCAACCTACACTGTATTCCCTCCAAGACCAATCTATCCTTCTTAAGATGTAGTGCCTAGATCTGTTTACAGTGCTCCAAGTGGAGTCTAACCAGGTTTTGTGTACAACTACAGCATAACTTCTACATCTTATTACTCCAATCCTTTAGGTTTAATTTGATTGATTCATTTATTGTCATGTGTACCCAAGTACAGTGAAAAGCTTTGTTTATGAGCAGTACACGTAGGTCGTAGTAAGCAAGGATATACAGATCGTAGGTTAAAAAACAAACTAGACAAAGGCATACAGGTTAAGGATCATAAGGTGGAAAAAAAGAGGCACACAGGCTACCTCATACAGGGCATGCTCTGGGAAGATCAATATTAGCAAGATCAGCATATTTGAAATTAGAGAGTCCATTCATCAGTCTACTAATGGCCAAACATTCCATTAGCTTTCTTGATTAATTTCTGCATCTGTTTGTGACATTTTAAATATCTGTGAACCTGAACCCCTAAGTCTCTTTGGGCATTTAACTTAATACTATCTATAAAGTGCCCATATCTGTCCCTTTTCAGTTTTCACTAAATCAGTACAGGTGAAACACACAGTACTAACCCTCAAACATTTCAGAAAATCAATCATGGCTGATACGTTTCTCAACTCCATTCTCCTGCCTTCTCTCTGTAACCCATGATTCCCATTACTAATCACGTACCTATCTATTTCCAGCTCAAATACACTCAATGACTTGGCCTCCACAGCCTTCTGAGGCAATAAATTAAACAGATTAACCACCCTCTAGCTAAAGAAATTCCTCCATCTTAGTTCTAAAGGGTTGTCCCTTCACTGAGACTGTGCCCTTGGGTCCTAGTCTCTCCTATTAGAGGAAACATTTTTTCCTCATCCACTCTAACCAGACCTCTCAGTACTCTGTAAATTTCAATCAGATTCCCCCCCATTTTTCTAAACTCCATCAAGTACAGACTCAGAGTTGTCAGCTGCTCCTTATATTACAAGCCCTTCATCCCAGGAACATTTTTGTGAACCTCTTTTGGCCCCCTCCAATTCCATCACATCCATCCTTAGATATGGGGCCCCAAAACTGCACACAATATTCCAAATGTTATCTGACCAGAAGGTTACATAGCCTCAGCAGGACATCTGTCTTACAATCCAGCCCTTCTTGAAATGAATATTAAAATTGCACTTGCCTTCCTAACTGCCAACTAAACCTGCACGTTAACCTTAAGAGAATCCTGAACAAGGACTCCCAAGTAACTTGTGCTTCAGACTGCCAAATGGTATATGTTTCTATCCTTCCTACCAAAGTGTATAACCTCACAGTTTGCCACATTGTATTCCTTCTGCCACTTCTTAGCCCACTCTCCTAGCCTGTCCAAGTCCTTCTGCAGCCTCCATGCATCCTGTCCCTTCACCTATCTTTGTGTCATCTACAACTTAGCAACAAATGCGGCCATTTGTGCAGATCATTACAGTATA